ATTGTGTGGATTCTCATGAGGTTTTCCATAAAATGATACTCCATTTTGGAACAATAAAATGATGTATGTCCTCAATTAAAAGTTTGGTTGCCCAAATGGAGGATAAATATGTTTGATTGATTTGATGCAACAAGTGGTGTGATGAATTGTCCAAGTGGCAAATTATCTTCATCAATCTAGTTTGGTTGTCCAACTTGTATCGGTTGCACTTCTCTGTTCTGCTCTGCCATGATATTCTCTCGTTGTTGCTTAATTCTATGGTTAAAAGTGCGTTGATTCTGGATCAAATGGTACTAGATTACCTACTCTCGAACTTCGCATACAAGAACATTTGCAAAGAAAATGAAAACAAAAACACACAACCTTAAACTTAAAAAAAACAAAAACAAAGAAAAATAAAATCAAAATCAAAATTAGAATTTATTAAAAATTTAAAGCAAATAAAGTAGTCCCGGCAACGGCGCAAAAAACTTGTTCGTGAAATTTCGCAAGTGCACGGATCGTGGCAAGTAATAAAGTGGATTTAGTAAGTCCGAATATCATCCCACAGAGACTACTATCCACTATAAATTTTTAAACTAACCTAACTTCAATTTAAATTAAAATAGTAACTAATGATCAAATCAAATTATGTTTTCTAAATGAAGTTTTAATAAATAAAGTAACAAACTATTAATTAAAAATAACAAACTCAAATTTAAACTTTAGAAAAGATTATGTGATTGGATAGTTAAGATTTTCTATTTCACTTAAGTTATTTATCATACATTTAATTCCAATTTATTCAGTTATCTCTTTACACCTGCTAACGATCGAATTAACCTATTGTATTTAGTGATCTCTCTCAAGCAATACTGATTCTATTCATATGGATGAACTTACTATATCTCTATGTAAATTCACAGACATATGAATGTATTTATCTATAGGAATTCAACATGGATCGCATAGCTTATAATTATCTCTCAATCTCTTATAATGTCTAAATTAATTATTGTACGAGTTAGAAGTATACATCACATCTCGGTCTCAATATTATCTATAAATCAATTAATTGTTGCGCAAATAATTAATAGCATTAAACACACAATAATTAATTAACAAATATTAAAATGGCATGAATATTTTGAAATTAAACATATAATAAAAACCTTAAACTATATCATCAATTCTAACAATAAGAGTATTTTGTCACTCATAATATTGAAATTAAACATGCAAAAGTGGAATGACATCACCAAAAATTGACGAAACATGATCGATTTTCCAAATTATTGATCCAGCTTTAGCTGTCAATTTCTTATGTCTTTGCATGTATGCGTTCTATGTATATATAACTTCAGCCCCCCAGGGCATAACTCAGTGGTGCAAAGGATATGAGTGAGATAGTCTCAGCTACGCTGGCAATCACAGTGTGAGTGTTTGATTTCTGCCTCTTACAAGATATGTAATTGGACTCTTTGTGGTCACCAATATGACAGCTTTTGTACTATAGCCTGCTGATGTACATCTCGCAATTTACATCCTCCACGATACTCTTGGGGCGAGGCGATGGGGGCCCCTCAAAGTTGGGGTTCAACCTTTTATATATGACTTCCAACAACAGCCACTTTTCTTGAATTTTCAAATAAAACTCCAATCATTTTCTCCCTTTCTTTTTTCTTACCCAAAGTTGCCTCAATTTGCATGTATGTATATAAATCCAATTGTCTGCCTCTTTTTCTTCCACTTTCTGTGCGTGAATATGTTTTCAATATTCAGCCTATTTTTCTTCTCCTTAGATCTATCGATGTTTTACCCGTCCTCACACGTATATATCTTTTTCTCTCCGCCGCCGGCTACATGAATATGGGTCTCTATATATAACAATTCACAACCCCTTTTTTTTTTATTCTTTTCAACCAAAGAGTCCAAGCTCATTGACATTTCAAATTAAAGCCCAATTAATTTAATGTTTCATTCCAAGTCCTCGTACTATGAATTTTTCCAATTTTTCGCTATTTTGCATTCTTTTCTTCAATTTTTCATTAAACAAAAAGTATTACCTACAAAATACAATNAGTCCTCGTACTATGAATTTTTCCATTTTTTCGCTATTTTGCAATCTTCTCTTCAATTCTTATTAAACATAAAATTTATCTAAAAAATACAATTTAACATAAATTATGTAGAATTTAATTTAAAAGACAATAAAATATCATAATTTAACGTCTCGAATAAGTATAAAAACTACAATTATCAACTCGTATAGACATAAATAAGCGGCAATTTGTAGTCAGCCACGTGAATCACTCTTGGTGACTCTATTTGCCATCCGAAGGAAAATTTGAGTTGTTATTGCACAGCTCTAAATGAGATGTTTACGGGTGTCCTTATTTGAGATTTAAATGAATTTTAAAAGAATAAGATTTTAATGAATTTCATGAATTTGAATAAATTTCCACATAATCCATAAAAATTCATTAAAATGATGAAATTCCAAAGGAGTCTGTTATATGTATTTTTAACCTTAAAATTCATTCAAATCTTTTGAAATTCCTTTATTAATGAAATCATTATAAGGCCCTATTTGAACCATATTTTTTTTTCATTCTCATTTTTCTACTCATTTTCACTCACACATTTTTCAATAAAATAATATTTTCCATCACATCAATAATTTTTCCTTCTATTTCAACCACATATTCCCTATCACATCAACAGTAAAAATACATTCTTATAACCAAAATGTGCACCAAACAAGGGCTAAATCCACAAGTTATTGGGATACCTAAATTTTAAAGTATTTTATTAAATCTCAATTGGGAAAATTTGAGTTTAGAAGAGTTTTCAAATCTATTAGAATCTCAGTTGGGGACATCCTTCCAAAATATTTCTGTTTGTTTTCGTTACAATCTTGAAAAATATTTCAATACCTTTTTTTCATTAACAAATTCTTCACAACTCACCCCAATTTATACAAGTTCTTGACATAAGATACATAATATGAAAACATTTGTGGACTACTCACCATTCTAGATTTTGACAACATAAAGTTTTAAGAGACTTGTTGAGAAAATCATCACACATCAATTATTAAAACTCTTGGTTGGCAAATTTATAAATGATTTATTAAGAGAAATAGTAATGATTCTATGGATAATAATGAATAATATCTATAAATGCATGGTTGAAATTTATAAATGATTTATTAAGAGAATATTTATAAATGCACGGTTGAAATTAATATTGTAATTTTAACTGAATTTATGAATCTTTTATTAAACTAAATCTAATCATTGGATTACGTAATTATCAACCAGATTTAGATTATAATTTTATGTATTTGATTATTCACATATAATCAAAATCCGTACAATCACCACGCTACTGGACCACCTCTTTGTTTTATTTCCTCTACAAATACCAAACCAAGCCAGGTTTTTGTACATCCGAAGAAGCAGAATATTCTTTCAAAATTTTGGGTTTCTCTCCTTGTAAATTTCGGTTCTGGTTTTAGAGTTTGTTTTTTGAGTAAGAAAAAGAAGAGTTAAAAATGAGTGGAGAGAGTGTGACCCTTGATCTTCTCAAGAGAAAAATGGATGAGTTTGCAAAGGAAAGAGACTGGGAAAAGTTTCACAGCCCCAGAAACCTTTTCTTGGCTATGGTAACATTTTTCCATGTGTAAACTTGTTCTTTAAGTTAGAATCCTTTGTTTTTTTTTTTTTTCTCTCTAAAATAAATGCTTTCATACTTTTTATTAATGGGTTATTCTTTTCTTGATGAAAGATGCATATAATTTTGTGCAGGTTGGAGAAGTAGGTGAAGTTTCAGAGATATTTCAGTGGAAAGGGGAGGTTCCAAAAGGGCTACCAGATTGGAAAGAAGAAGAAAAAACTCATCTGGGTGAAGAACTTTCTGATGTATTGCTTTACCTCATTAGACTCTCTGATATCTGTGGAATTGATCTTGGTAAAGCAGCCCTTCGTAAAATTCAACTCAATGCAATCAAGTATCCAATCAAAGGGTGTTCAAACAATGTCAGCAATACTAGCACTGCTGATTGAGTTGAGATGTTCTTGCTATACACTATTCGACCCTACTACAGAAGAAAATTAGTTAAAATTTTGTTCAATAATACATGTCAATAATGTCGGCGGATCTTGTTCCTTATATTATGTAGTCGTGTTCGATAATATAATCAGTCAAGTCGACGGGTCAAGTGAATATTTGAATGGTATTCCTCTTACTAGTGGTCCTATAGGTAGTTGGGTTGATAGCATGTACATCTCCTCGTTTGGTTGGTGTTGTCTTGGCATTAAATTCTCTGAGATTTTTTTCACAATTTGGTGACCTGAAATAAATCCCTTTTGACAGACGCATTCTCTTTGCACATCTGAATAAATTAGATTTTATATTATTTGCCATTTTTATATCACTCCTGTTTGATGGAGATTAAAATCATTTTTTTAACATATTTTGATAAAAGTTGATGAAATGTGTGGTTGAAAAATAGTGAATCCTACAGAACATGCAGTTAAAATTAATTGTTGACTTTAACTTCAAATTTAATCGAATTTTTACGGTACTAAACAGGAGCATACTCTATTTTACGAGAATCATGCTACACTAACATTCCGGATGACATCTTGGATGACCGAATACACACACTTCGAGGTTCGGGCATTATTTTATTCACTCGGGACCCACGCGTAATGTGAGGGTCGATCACCCCTTCGATCATCTATTTTCGGGCACTTCAACATAATTCATTTTACGAAAAACTAAATGAATTATTAAAATTTTGCTGGCTAGGTTGACCATCACTTTCCATTCCAGACTCTAGTCAATTGTGTCATACCCATGACCATCTTGTAGTAGCGTCAAGACTCGAGAGTGATAGGTCAGCATCCTTGTACTGGATTGGGAGATTCACCATATATTCTCAAGGAAAGTGTTATTGTCCACAATTATTTATATAACAATGATGTGTTAAAATACAATTATAGTTATCAAACCCATCTCGATCCTTAATTCGGAAAAATCATCTTATCACTGAGTTAGAGATTTAATCGATGGGTCAATAGTTCAACCAATGAGTCTACTTTTCTATAAGGAATTATATAAATTTCACTCAAGGATTTTGTGTTTGCATAGTGGTCATTTGTTCCAGTGTCATGCAAGGAATTGATGGTTCGAATCTGTCCTCATGCAAAAAATTTGTGTTTGCATAGTGGTCATTGTTCCAGTGTCTCATGCAAGGAATTGATGGTTCCAATCTGTCCTTATGCAAAATTTATATATTAATTTTGCTCTTTAGTTGGACCAATTTGATAGAACTGAGCAGGTCCCGATTTCCACTAAAAACCACCGGTTTAAGACAATAATGAATCGGTTTGAATGATTCTTGACCGGTTTATTTGTCATTGGACCAAGTACGGTCAATCGGACCGGATCATTGTTCGGTTCGCCGATTCTGAACCTGCCGATTTTGTCCGATTTTAATAACCATAAGTACAAGCAATGTTCGCAATGGGAGAAAAATGATTTAAAATAAGAAAAAGAAATTAAAATTTTCAATTTTAAAGTGATAAACATTAGTGTTTTGAGACCATGATAGTCTAAGTGTCCGTTTGATACAATTTTTGAAAAGTTAAAATGAATTCTTGAAACCTAAAAGTAGCTTTTGGATCCGTTTGATTAATTTTATGAAAGTGTTTCTTCTATTTAGAAGAGTTTTCAAATGAAACTGGTCAAATATAATTTCCTCTAAAAGCATTTATGAAATAGGAAATATTTTAAAAATTAGTTCTCAAAAAAAAATGAAGGTAAATTTTTTTCAAAAACTACTATACAAAAGTAAAAGCAAAAACTCAAAAGCCAAGTGAAATTGGAATTTCCTCATCATTAATGACGAGACAATGGCAGTTATTGGTCTTATCAATCGATGCAGGTGATTAGCGTCTAGGATTGGTAGTTGATTGTTGTCAATAGCGACCTCAAGAAGGCGCACAAGTGCTTAGAGTGGTTATCGATGTTGATTGTTTACAACTAGTAGCCTAGAATCAATGGTCAAATATGCCCTTTTTTGGGCTCCATTTTAACAAAAGAATCATGCTACTATGACAGAGATATTTGATAGGGTTCGGTGACAAACAACACTTGTCCCCAAATCATTGGAAGATGGATTTTTTTTAAAAAATAGGTGAATCACAACTCACCACGACATCGTTGTCACCAAATTCTGGCTGCAATCCCTGTCAGAGTAGATTAACTCTTAATAAAAATTCGGGCGGAGTGAGTTTTGAAATAGTGATTTTTTCGAGAATGTGTGGTTAAAAAATAAGCCCCTGTTTAATAATTATTATTTGAAAAATTCCTTTTTCTGTATATTCATTTTCAACTATACATTCACACAATAAAATATTATGCACGTAAATTCAAAACGTTTCTCTACTTTCTAACCACACACTCTCGAAAAAAAAAAATTCAAAACTCTATTATTCAAATAATGGTTGCAAATAAGGGTTAAGAAAAAGTATTCGATTTACATGTAATATTATTTTATGGAAGAATGTGTGATGGAAAATTAATTTTTTGGAAAAATGAGGGTCAAACATAGACTATATGTTGTTATCGGTGAGGGTTAACCATGTGCTGATTACTACAGTAGACTATTGTCAATGGGGGATATGGGAGGGATTTGTTGGCTAGTCGTGGATATGTTCAGGATCAATTGGTAGAGGTTGACATTGATGATGTGTTGCTAGAGGATATAGCTGATGATCTATGGTCAAATAAGGCTAATCTAGGTATGCCAACAAGTTAAGACAAAACTCAAAGTTTAAGCTGGACTCGAATAAATTATTCTGACTTTTTTTTGTTTGCCCGAGCCAAATCGAGCTTTTTTTGGCTAAAAAAGTTAGGCTCGACCCGAGCTTTTGACTCAAGCTTTATTGAGCCGAGCCGACTCGTGTTTTTTTTTTATATATTATTAAAAAGAGCTTGCTGCCTTTGTGTGGCTACATATAAGTAGTACAAGCAGCAGGCGTTAAAATTTATATATATAATTCTTTTTTTTTAATTAGCTCACGGGTCGAAAATGGCCCTTGACACAGGCTGGCTCTGTTGGGGCTCGGGTTCAGGCTGACACTCTGAAATAGGGCTCAGAAGAATCGAACCGATTCGAGCCAAATTGACAACTCTAAGCTAATCAAATGGAGAACTACTATATGGTCAGGGCTCTGGCCAAGCAGATTAATTCAATCAAATGAATTTTAAATGTGCATGTATTAAAGAATCGTGCTACATGTACATTATAGGTTACATTAAGTTTGATATTCTTTCATGTGGCAGCAATTTACACAATTAATTTTAAACACATTCATCCCATTACTATATCAGATTTCTTTCACATTGGGGAGTGCCAAACTCCTTATTAAGATATAATGTACATCTAGCTTTATTTTGTATTAATTTATCATCCTACATATTGCCAGGCCCGCCCCTGAAGCGAGGCGAATGAGGCCGCTGCCTCAAGCCCAAGCGTGGAGGGGGCCTAATTTTGGGAAACAATGCCCAAATCTGGAGGCCCAATGGTAACCTAAGGTCCTAAACTACTAAACACTTATTGTCTCAGTCTCACCAAATCGGTCGACCCCCCTCTCCTTCCCGCTCTCTATCTCCAAAAATATTCAACTCTCCAAGAATCCACCGACCACCAATAGCTCTTCAAGCCGACGCCGGAGTGGTGTTTACCAGAGTCCAGACTTCCAGTGCTGCCTGTACAGTCTCCCTTTCGTTTTCCGACTGGCGTGTCTTCACTCTTCTGGAGTTCTGCAGCTTCTGTTGGTAACTGGTAAGCGAGCTTATGCAGCTTCTGAGTATCAATTTTGTGGCTTTTGTTTCATTGTCTAATTCGGTTTTGAGGCTATTGTGATTTCGATTTGT